GCTGGGATCACGGCAACTGTGCTCTGCCTGGGGCAAACAGAAGTGATCACTCTGTTCAAAAGAAGAAAAGAGTTGCCGGCCGCGCCGTGCCCCAAGCCCTGTAATCCCCAGCACTTGGAGGCGCGAGACCGGGAGGATCACGAGGTCAGGAGATCACAGACCATCCTAGCCAACATGGTGAAACCCCGTCTCTACTAAAAAATACAAAAAACTAGCCGGGCGAGCGGGCGCCTGTAGTCCCAGCTACTTGGGAGGCTGAGGCAGGAGAATGGCGTGAACCCGGGAGGCAGAGCTTGCAGTGAGCTGAGATCCAGGACTGCACTCCAGCCTGGGTGACAGAGCGAGACTCCGTCTCAAAAAAAAAAAAAAAAAGAAGAAGAAGAAAAAGTTCACCTCTGCCACTCCCTTTAGGAGTCAGGGAAGAGTCACCTAGACACAGCACAGGTAAACCTTGTTTTACTGGAATCTAGGCTGTCATTAAACACCCAAAGCCTGCCTCACTTGGACGAAAGCACTGTAGCCCGCGGCACTCAGGGCCCACAGCACATTCCTATGTCACTGATGCTATTTCTGCTACTGAAAATAAAGTTTCTGACCAAGAAATCCATTGTTGAAATGCAATCTCTTCCATACAGAGAAATTATTAACATATTTTAAATGTGGATTTATATATTCAGGTTGTGTATTCCTTATCTGATATGCTTATAGCCAGAAGTGTTTTGAATTTTGGATGTTTTTCAGATTTTGGAGTATTTGCATTACACTTACCAGTTCAGCATCTCTAATCTGAAAATTCAAAATTTGAGATGTGCCAGTGAGCACTTCCTTGGAGTGTCACATCAGCACTCAAACATTTCCGATTTTGGAGCATTTCAGATTTTAGATTTTTGGATTAAGGATACTCAGCCTGTATAACTTCATTCTCCAGGGACTGATTCCTCTTGTTTAATGCATAGTCATTTTATGAATCTAGACTTTGGAAAATATGAGATAAAACAAAATTTTGGAGGAGCACACCTTTATCCTAGGAGCCCTTAAGAGATGTCTCAAAAGTCTGAACTGACAGAGGATGCCTGTTAACATCAGACCTAAACAGACATCAAGTGAAACGCACAGGCTAATTGGAGTTGGATATTTCCTCCCATCCTATGTGTAGCCCTAACCCTGCTCCCCTCAGCTGTTCTGACCCATCTTTGAGCCTGAGGAAATAGAAGCAGCCCTGAGCACCTTTGCAAGTCTTCCTGGGGTGCCAGAGGAACCTCATCCCATTCCTGAGCAGGGGTTCATGGGCATCACTGAGGACATCCGGGTCTTCAAGATTTATTTATTTATTTATTTATTTTTCCTGAGACAGAGTTTTGCTCTTGTTGCCCAGGCTGGAGTGCAGTGGAGCAATCTCGGCTCACCGCAACCTCCGCCTCCCGGGTTCAAGCGATTCTTCCGCCTCAGCCTCCCGAGTAGCTGGGATTACAGGAATGCGCCACGACGCTCAGCTAATTTTCTATTTTTAGTAGAGACAGGGTTTCTCCATGTTGGTCAGGCTGGTCTTGAACTCCTGAGCTCAGGTGATCCGCCTGCCTCGGCCTCCCAAAGTGCTGGGATTACAGGTGTGAGCCACCGAGCCCGGCCAAGATTTCTTTTTCTTGCTTCGTCAGATGGCCGACGATGATAGCTTTTTCTACCTTGGCACCACGACTGGAGATATTCTAAAAATGAACCCCAGGACTAAACTGCTGACAGATGCAGGGCCTGCGAAGGACAAATTCAGTTTGGTGAGTAGAGACCATCACCACTGCCCTGCCATTTTTCTCCCTTCACTAGCAGTATGTACTTTTTTTTTTTTTCTTTTTGAGACAGAGTCTTCTTCTGTCGCCCAGGCTGGAGTGCAGTGGCATGATCTTGGCTCACTGCAACTTCCGCCTCCCTGGTTCAAGCGATTGTCCCTCCTCAGCCTCTCAAGTAGCTGGGACTACAGGCGTGCACCACCATACCCGACTAATTTTTGTATTTTTCAGTAGAGACAGGGTTTCATCATGTTGGCCAGGCTGGTCTTGAACTCCTGACCTCAGGTGATGCGCCCACCTTGGTCTTTCAAAGTGCTGGAATTACAGGTGTGAGTCACCGCACCTGGCCAAAGCATACACTTTCTTAATGAAGAAAGAGTTTGTGGGAAAACATAAGAAGTCAGTGATGGACCCAAAGCCACATCTCAATTTGCAAGGTACATTGGCCAGTTCTCTATGCCCTCATCCCTGGTTTTTATTCAGCGTAAAGACATTTCTAGGTGTCCTGAATTAGGGAATCAGAACCATATTTATGTTCACCTCTTCAAAGCATAGGGCCCGTTGCTGTGTGATTTTAAACCGCATTGGTTCCAGCCCCGTTGCCATACATAAGTGTGCTCTTTGATCTATAAAACTGTATAAAAATTTTTGTCTACTCTACTAACTAGATCTTAGATTTTAGCCTCAGCTGACATTATAAGTCGCGAAAAAGACCTATAAATAGTCAACTGTTTATATTTACAGAATTCCTCGCAATTCTAGTTAAAAGGACAGTTAGAGACTTTGATATTTACACCAAAATAAAAAACTACCATCAAAGGATCATTTTATATAATAAGTGCTGCTATTTCCAGCAGCCCAGAAACTTACTAGGGCTATTTCTACTAAACTTTGAATTTGAAAGCTTGTACTAGGTTCTGCACCTGCCTATCTCATTTCTGATAACAGAACAGATGGCTCTAACTAAGCTTAGATACTTTTCCACGTAGCAGATATTCTCAAGAAACTTTGAAATATTGCACTGTGTTCCTGGGAAAATGTCAGAGTTTTCTTAGTCACATAATCATTTAATATTCAAGCATTCAAGGAGATGCATAACAAGAGGGGAAAACTATAGTGTAAGTAGAGAAGAGTTAAGAAATAATTCTACAAGAGATTGAAGTGTAGCTTTTCAAGTGTGTTTTTTCTAATTCTTTTAAGGATAGGAATTCTTTTTTTATTATTACACTTTAAGTTCTGGGATATATGTGCAGAACGTGCAGGTTTGTTACGTAGGTATACATGTGCCATGGTGGTTTGCTGCACCCATCAACCCGTCGTCTACATTAGGTATTTCTCCTAACGCTATCCCTCTTCTAGCCCCCAACCCCCGACAGGCCCCAGTATGTGATCTTCCCCTCCCTGTGTCCATGTGTTCTCGTTGTTCAACTCCCACTTATGAGTGAGAACATGTGGTGTTTGGTTTTCTGTTCCTGTGTTAGTTTGCTGAGAATGATGGTTTCCAGCTTCATCCATGTCCCTGCAAAGGACATGACCTCATCCTTTTTTATGGCTGCATAGTAGTCCATGGTGTATATGTGCCATATTTTCTTTCTATCCAGTCTATTATTGATGGGCATTTGGGTTGGTTCCAAGTCTTTGCTATTGTGAGTAGTGCCACAATAAACATATGTATGCATGTAGAATGATTTGTAATCCTTTGGGTATATACCTAGTAATAGGATTCCTGGGTCAAATGGTATTTCTGGTTCTAGATCCTTGAAGAATCACCACACCATCTTCCACAATGGTTGAACTAATTTACGCTCCCACCAACAGTGTAAAAGTGTTCCTATTTCTCCACATCCTCTCCAGCATCTGTTATTTCCTGACTTTTTAATGATCGCCATTCTAACTGGTGTGAGATAGTATCTCACTGTGGTTTTGATTTGCATTTCTCTAATGACCAGTGATGATGAGCTTTTTTTCATATGTTTGTTGGCCGCATAAATGTCTTCTTTTGCAAATTGTCTGTTCATATAGGATAGGAATTCTAATATATTAAACAAATAAAAACAAAGCACATCAGGTTAAGCAGAGCAAGTCTTAGAGGCCTGCCAGTGCCAACTCCTGAGATGCCACCAAAGGGCTCCATATAACACTACCTGAAAACTACTGGATTTTTTGTTTTGTTTTGTTTTCCTAGCATTTGGGAACTAAATATCTCTCTAGCAAAGATGCTGGCTGTCTTAGGGTTTCTCAAACCTTTGGCACTTAAGTCACCTGTGGATGCTGAAATTGTTAACCATGCAGGTCTGATGGTCAACTCCACAGGCAATGGTTCCAAGACACCTTTTCCATGGGTGAAAAGAAAATAATTCCTGCGGAATGAAGGGATAGGAGGTGTCACTGAAGATGTTTGGTTTCAATATCAAGTGATCTTATCCACTTTGAAACTCTACTTAAATATTTGTTCAGGCCAGGCCGGTGGCTCACACCTGTAATCCCAGCACTCCGGGAGGTCGAGGTGGGCAGACTGCTTGAGTCCAGGAGTTCAAGTCCAGCCTGGGTGACATGGTGAAACCCCCTCTCTACAAAAAATATGAAAATTAGCTGGGCATGATGGAGCATGCCTGTAGTCCCAGCTACTCAGGAGGCTGGGGCAGAGGAGACGGTGAGCTGAGATTAAACCACTGCACTCTAGCCTGTGTGACAGAGTGAGACCCTGTCTCAAAAAAATAAATAAATAAAAATTGCTTTATGGTTAGAAAGGCAAATAATTGGTGGCCAGAAAACTACAGTAATTAAGACAGTGTAGTGTTGGTGGACAAGAATAAATAAATGGATTCAATGGGACAGAATAAGATGAGCCCAAAAAAGGAATTCACATAAATACAGTCAACTGATCTTTTGGATGGAAGGGAGCAAACAAATACAATGGAAAAAAGATAGTCTTTTTAATAAATATGTTGCTCAACAACTGGAAACCAAAAAAAAAAAAAAAAAAACAAAAGCCTAGAATCAGACTTATACCTTCACAAAATTGAACCTCAAAATGCGATACAGACCTAAAACCACAAAACCACTAAGAACTCGCTGAAGATTAAATCCAGTAAGACTAAAGGTGTTGATGATAACTTTTAAGCTTAATACCAAAGACATTGGCATGAACGGAAAGAATTGAAAAGCTTGACTTTCTTTTTTTTTTTTTTTTTTTGAGGACGCGAGTCTCACTCTGTCGCCATCAGAGCTGGAGTGCAGTGGGCCGTGATCTCAACTCACTGCAAGCTCCGCCTCCGGTTTCACGCCATTCTTCCTGCCCTCAGCCTCCGAGTAGCTGGACTACAGGCCCCCGCACCTCGCCCCTGGGGCTAGTTTTTTGTCCTTTTTTTCAGCTAGAGACGGGGTTTTCCGCGCGCGTTAGCAGGATGGTCTGCTCTCTGCGTGATCCGCGTCCGGTCCAAAGTGCTGGATTACAGGCTTGGCCACTGCGCCCGGCCTGGACTTTCTTAAAATCAAAAATTCTGCTGGATGAAAGACAAACTGTCCAAGAGAATGAAAAGTAAAGATACGGAGTGAGAGAAATATTGGCAAAAGACATACCTGAATAAGGACTGTTACCCAAAATATATCAGATAACCTTTTTTTTTTTTTCTTTTTTTTTGAGACACAGTCTCGCTCTGTCCGCCCCCAGACTGAGTGCAGTGGGGCCGATCTCGGTTCACTGCAAGCTCCACCTCCGGTTCACCCCATTCCTCCTGCCTCTAGCCTCCCGAGTAGCTGTCGGACTACCAGGTGCCCGCCACCATGACTGGCTATTTTTTGTATTTTTTTGTTTTTTTTTTTTATTTAAGTAGAGATAGCGGTTTCACCGTGTTAGCCAGCGGATGGTCCTTGATCTCCAGAACTCGTGATCCACCCGCCTCAGC